CCCACCCCCACCCCCCTCCGAGCACGGAAAGAGGCATTCTTCCTGTTTCTCTTCTGATAGGCAGGACGCATAATTTTTGGTGGTTTTGTTTTGTTTTGTTTTCGTTTTTTCTGGAGTCTAGGCTACACACAGAAACTTATTGTTACAATCATAATTTTCCTTTCAGCACATTTTGCTGCAGCAAACACCTTTACTTTCATTTTGTAGAAATCTAGATAGCTAATTTTGGCAACACATTATGGACTAATATTTTCGTGTTTCCTAAAAGTGATGATAAATTACCCCCCGAGCAGTGCTACTTACTGAAGTGTCTTTAGGCCATTTACAAAGGGGGACATTAACATATTCTTAAGCATAGTAGAATTGTAAAAGGGCTGATTCATTAATGTCATGCACATAGCTGTGCCTGAACTGCAAGAGGGAACTGCTGCCTTTTCTTTCCTAATTTTACATCTACTTCTTTTGTATGTTTGTTCTTGTGACCCGCTATTTCCAGGGTGTCTTGATAGTCGAAGCAGACTTTGTACTGTTGAAGCTCGAGAGGTGAGCAGAGTAAGCCTGATCCCTGTGACGACTTCCGCCCCTTAGCGCCATAAAACACTTACCAAAAAACAAAAACAAAAGACAAACAAAAGCAAACGAAAAACCCCATCACCCCCCCAACAAAACCAAAGGCCAACCTGGACTGATACGGATATAGATCAAACCAGCAGACTGTTGGAGATGCTGGAAGAAAAATTAAATTTAATACTTCCCCATACGGAAATCGAATTCACATCTTCTTAGTACGACAACTAAGCGCCCAGCCACTTCACTACGGAGGCCGGAAAAAATAAATAAAATGCAAATGGTGTGTGCCATAATTATTTTTAAAAGAAAACTCATGTTAAGATTAAATAATTGGGCGTGAACTTCGCGAAATATTATTAGCAACCCCTGGTAAGGTATAGCGTATTTTCAGACGGATAGAGAGATGGATAGATAGGTAGGTAGGTAGGCAGGAAGGTAGGTAGATAAAAATGGGAGAGAAAGAGAGAAAGAGCTAGAGAGAGGGAAGAAAGAGAAAGAGGAGAGAGATGAAGAGAAGGTGAGAAAATGGCGAGGCGG